TCATAAGAAGCATCACCTCTTCTCTTTGTCTTCCAGGCTTTGCCGTCTAAACCTTCTCTAACAGCCCTAGCTGGTTTGGCTCAGTGGATAGAGCATTGGCTTGTGGACTAAAGGGTTCTGGGTTTGATTCCCATCAAGGGCATATGCCCTAGTTGTGGGCTTGATCCCCAGTGTTGGATGTGCAGGAGGCAGCCAATTAATAATTCTCTCTCATCATTGATGTGTCTAGCTCTCTCTCCCTCTCCCTTCCTCTCTGAAATCAATAAAAACATATTTTTAAAAAACACACAAACAAAACTTCTCCCCAATATCTGTTGTACATTGGGTCCTCTGGCAATAACCCCTATAGACTGATGGCTGTGGGGAGACGCTGATAGAGGGGGCATTTGCCCTTAATACACTGGTTTGTGACAGGTTTAACCTTCCCAAACATTTCAGAGCAATCAATTTTTGTATATAACCAAAAAGGTGACATTCCATAGTTAATGTGTTCTATAAAGAGAAGCAGCATTGTATAGCGAAAATAAGCTTGAGACAAAGAAGTCAGAAGACATGCATGCCAATGGTAACACTGACATGTGTTGGTGTGGGCATTACTAGTATGAACGTCAACCTTGGGGACTGTTTCCTATTAAATAAAATGGGAATGATTAATAACAAATCCCTGCCTACCTTACAGGACTGTTATGAGAAAGAAGTAGCAAGGCAATGTATGAGGAAGTGTTGTATAATAATGGCAAGGTGTCAGTCTTTATTTCCTCAGGTTGAGGTAAAAAGGTCTTTGGAGGAAAAAAAGTTCTTTGGTAAAATTGGAATTATCATTTTAATATGCAACCAGTTGGCCCTCCCATTCAATTGAGCATGAGTAATAATTTGCCTTTTTGTCACAGTTTTTAATCTTTACTTTGTAGCCTTGTGCAGTAGGGCACTACCATTGTCCCCATTAGAAATGAGGAAAATAAAGCATGAAAAGCCAAAATCATCTTAAAGGAGGTTTGGTCTATATTTGGAGTTTCCTCCTTGTGGCCTTGGCCCATGGCATAACTACACCTCACTGCCTATTCTAATGTATTGCTTCCACCATGAAACATCTGATCTCTCCATTTTGTCCTACATTTATAACATTTCTTTTTTTTTTTTTTTTGCAACTTCCAGCCTTCACACATTTTCCCGCCTCTACTTGGAACTCCCTTTGTCCAAGTCTCCATCCAGCAAATGCCCATTCGTTGTTCAATCCAGTTTAATCATTACCTCCTCTGGAAAGCCTTTCTCAGTTCTCTCATGCAAAATTGTAGATACTGCGCCTGTGTCTGCAAAACACCCTGTGCAAACCTCCCTCTTAGCTCTCAGTGCAATGCCCCGTGATGCTTACTCACCTGCTAGAGCTCCTCGATTTCACAGCCTGTCTTACTGATCTTTCTTTATTGAGTTGAGAGAGGGAAAGAAGCATCAGTATGTTGTCCCACTTATTTATGCATTCATTGCTTGCTTCTTTTATGTGCCCGAACTAGAGATGGAACCCTCAACCTTGGTGTATCAGGATGATGCTCTAATTAACTGATCTACTCGGCCATGGCCTCAGTGATCTTGAATTTCCAACCCAGGCAATGTTGCATAAACCAGGTGTCTCAGGCGTATTTATAAATTGTTGTCAACCACTAAACAAAGCTGTGGTATTATTTCACCATGATATTTTGATTGAGGAAAATGCAACATTTCAAGGATAACCTACCGATTCTCTTTCAGAAGCTGAAGGGTGTTGACCCTGCTTTTGCACTGGGAAATTTGAGGCAGAAGCTGTTAAATAAAAAAGGAAACACTGAAATCATGATGTGAGCATACTAGAATATATGCCTTAACAATGACAGGGGTTCCTTCTTGAACCTTCATGTAATAGTGCATTAAATTTAGCCATCTTATTGATCTCTCAGTTGAGTTTTTGTACAAACATGTAGCTTTGCGCTCAGCCTCTATCCCAGAGTTACCATGGCTGCTGCACTGTCTTCACTTATTTGCCCATTTCAACGGTTCTCTCTAAGAACCAGGTGTTTTCTCTTACAAAAGTGAACTGTCTTCCAAAATAGGCCCCGCACGTATCCATGATGACAAATCAGTAGGTAAATGCTATAATGGGCAGCCAGCGATGTTTTCCTCACCCCACTCTCTGAACTCCCTGAAAACAAACCAAAAAGTCCATCCGTGCACAAAGAAGGCATTAAATCCTGATTTTCAGTAACATGCCAACTGTATTTCTCCCATCTCAGAGTCACCATCCTCCAAAATGTCTAATGGGATTGTAAGTGCTTATTGGTGCAAATTTAGCCTAGGTTATTGGCATCCTCTTCCTTAAATATTTAAGCTTGATCAAGACTCCCACTGTGAGCATTGTATATGCATTCTGTTCTATTTATAGCTTTAGTTTTTTAAAACGTAGAAAGGTTCGTTCATTTAAAATGTTACAAACACTGTAAAAGTAAAAAGTCTCCACATGACTCCTCATTATTGTTAAACTTGATGTTTTTCTTTTAGAGCTTTTCTCAAGCACATACAACATGTATATGTTGATCTAAAGCAAATTTATCTTAACAAAACCCACTGTATTACTTAGAGCAAGACTAAGTGAAATTGGGGACAGACATTAGTCATTCCCAAGACATAAATGGCAGTCTAGTAGCAACTTTCCTATCATTTTCTCCATTTCTTTTTATCTTAAAATGGCATTATCAGTGGTTCTTGATAAGTAAAACTTTGAAACTGATTTTTCAAGAATTGGCAGGTTGATTAACAGGACACTTGTCAGTTTCTCTCTACAGGACTATTTTGTGTCCAATATTATATCAAGAAATGGAGCAAACAGTGGACAGTTAAGCACTTATTAAATGTCTATTTTAAGTCACTTTAATACATATGTGAGTCCATATTTTACCATCTGTAAGAAATGAAAGATATAAACACAACCCAATATTTCATAACGATCACTCTAATATGGTGGCATTTGGGATGTTTGTAAATATCACAGAAACAGATAGGAGAGCCAGAATTCATGTTCAGAAACTTGTCAATCATGCGTGTGGATTCCAGATTTAATATTCCACAGCAGACACCATAGAGAAAAAAATTATTTTAAGATGTTGTATAAAATGGAGAATTCTTGCATTTGTGTGTCACACTGCACTTGTGTGAAAATGTAACAAAAATAATTTTAAATGTATTATTTAATCAACAGAAGCAAACTTTTTTTTCCTATATTTTTTATAGGACCTCACGATGTGTGTGCATACACACACATATAAGCTCAGTAAAGCTTGGCAGAATGAGCATTCATTTCCTATTTAAATATGATCTTTCTAGAACAGCGGTTCTCAACCTGTGGGTTGTGACCCCTCTGGGGGTCAAACGACCCTTTCACAGGGGTCGCCTAAGACCATCAGAAAACACATATAACTACAAATCGTTTTTGTGATTAATCACTATGCTTTAATCGTGTTCAATTTGTAACAATGAAAATACATCCTGTATATCAGACATTTACATTACAATTCATAACAGTAGCAAAATTACAGTTATGAAGTAGCAACAAAAATAATTTTATGGTTGGAGGTCACCACAACATGAGGAACTGTATTAAAGGGTCATGGCATTAGGAAGGTTGAGAACCACTGTTCTAGAATGTATCAAAAATTTTCATATTTTATACATTTGGCATCATTAATTTCTCTCTTGCTTAAATTCTTCCCGTTGCTCCATTCTCGCCACCCTCACCCCTGCACCTGATAATGAAAGGAGGAATTCACGAGACATTGTCTCTGCTTCCCTTGCCAAATGCCAAACTTTACAGATTAAGAGTAACTACTTGCTGGAAGCTTTCTCCCACTAAACTCCTTTCCACCACAACCATATGGAGTGACCCTTTTCTTCATTCACATAGTGAGTAGTTTGTTGTGTCAGTGCCTGTCAGGGAGCATGATTCATAATAGTTACTCAATAAAATCAGCAAGGTCATTTGCCAGAATCAGGTTCAAATTCCAACCATACCCATAGTTAGTGTCTGGCTTTGGGCCCATGTAACACACAGCTCTGTGATTCACTGCTCATCTATAAAATGGGGATGATAAAAGATAAAAGGACAGTGCCTAGCATATAACAGGCACCAGAAAATCATAGTTCCCATATCTTCTTGTTGGAATAATGAATGAATGAATAAAAGAAAGAGATGCTGTCGGAACTTCTTTTGCCACCTGACAGGCTCCCATGAAGCTCCTCAGCTTCTACATAAAGGGATCCATTTGCTAAGCCAGTAGCTTAACTTTTCCAAGTCATCCTCCCCACCTGCTTCTTAGCATCTGCCCAAAATCTCCCTCATTATGTCTAGTCTGCATCTAGAACCTTGGATCTTCCACCTTAAGGGGCTACTCAGTTACAGTGAGCCTGAATCAGACCATTCTCAGTCTTGTTGTGAACCACTGTGCATGGGATTGCCCTGGCTCCTGTAATCCTATAGAATTCCTAAATTTATGTCCAGAGACACAGAGATTCCTCTCATCCAATGCTCTCCTATTCAGAACCTCTGGAGACATCAGAAATTGATTAACTAGGGTGAAAGGGCAAAAACAGAGTCAAATATAAATCCAGTAGTTCCAACCTGAGTGGATGGAGGAAGGATGGTATCCATGGGGGAAAATCTATCAAAGCATATAATCATGTAGGTATCTCAGGGATTTTAAGTAATTTAAATTATGTAAGGATGAAGTCAGAATGTATAATGGTATCCGTTTTTGAGTTCTGGTTTATTTTATAATTTGATTAAATAATTATTCTCTTTCCCTTAGTTGAAAGGGGCTTACCCATCATTTAAAAATGACATTGCTCTTTTTGTACACTAAATATTCTCACATCGTTGAAAGTAAAATTCTTCTGTGGAATGTTTTCTTGCAAATTTTTTCTTTTCTTTCAATAATTGGTTTTCCCTAGACAAAATAAAGTGTTATGCTACATTACAGCCTCACTGTTAGGAACGAAGAGAGAGCAGAAACTGCAGAAAGACCCACGCTTACCACCAAATTGGAGAGTATCCAGGTCCTAGAGGAAGGGTGAGTGACTCACATTATAATTGTTTCTTGTATTCAGATACTGATTACCTTGACTCAGTACTTAAGTATCAGCTCTTGCTTCCTGTTACTCCTCAAAATGGTTTGGTGAAATAAATTTACAAGCTGGGAGATCTTGGTGATTGCAATTGCTTTTCATTTACTTTTCTATTAGCTATGTTAAGCTATCAAGCTAAAATATTGCCCGACTTTTCTCTTTCAAAAATAATGATTGTTCCATGAGTTAGCTCCCCAAATTGCCCTATTTCCTGACTTCTCTTTTCTGATAGTATTTCCTGAAGTTGTTCTCTTTATGTGGGAACAATGTAAAACACACACACAAAAGACATGGAATTATCTAAGTCTGTCAGGAAGGGCACCCAGCTGGCATCCAGCCCCATGTCCTTCAGAACAGACTCTATCCAAGTATTTTATCCAAAATGAGAAGTTGAATGCAGAACTGAATCTCTATAGAATTAAATCAAAACACGAGTAGAATATTTGTGGAATTATAGTGCTTTCTTTTTCTACTTATGAGAAGGTTTTAATGTTGCTGCTTCATAGTAATTTTTCTTCTTTTGAACTTTTTAAATGAATGAAGAAGTTCAGACAGTTTTGAATATTAAAAATTTGTTTAAAATACTTGCTCAAAAAGGTATGTATACCTTCTTTGACTAAGTGGGAAACTTATTAAATAGACCAATGAATGAGAAAACAAGATCAATCCTATATAATAAAAGGCTAATGTGCAAATCGACTGAATGGAGGAACGACTGGTCGCTATGACGTGCACTGACCACCAGGGGGCAGATGCTCAATGAAGGAGCTGTCCCCTGGTGATCAGTGCGCTCCCATAGGGGGAGTGCTGCTCAGCCAGAAGCTGGGCTTACGGCTGGCGAGCACAGTGGTGGTGGCGGGAGCCTCTCCTGCCTCCACAGCAGCGCTAAGGATGTCCGACTGCTGGCTTAGACCCGCTCCCCATGGGCTTTCAGACATCCCCCGAGGGCTCCCGGCCTGCGAGAGGGCACAGGCTGGGCTAAGGGACCCCCTGAGTGCATGAATTTCATGCACCAGGCCTCTAGTTTAACCATAAGAATCTCTAGTTCATTCTTTTACTTCTTCGATGTATTATAAGCAAAGGGAGAAATAACTGGTGGTTTCTCCAGGGAAGTAGTCACTGAAAACCTGAATGTAGATCTCTAAAAAGTCCTCATTGTCATTGTAAGGGCCCTGGGCTCTGTCACTGTGATATCTCCATTCATGGGTAACAATGCATTTATAATACAAGGTGGGCAAAAGTAGGTTTACAGTTGTGAATATGTAATTACTAGAGGCCTGGTGCATGAAATTCATGCATGGGGGAGGGAGGTCCCTCAGCCCAGCCTGTACCCTCTTGCAATCTGGGACCCCTCAGGGGGGTCGGGCTGAAACCGACAATCAGACATTCCTCTCACAATCCGGGACCACTGGCTCCTAACTGCTCACCTGCCTGCCTCCTGATCACCCCTAACCACTCTGCCTGCCTGCCTGATTGCTCCTAACCACTCTGCCTGCCTGCCTGATCGCTCCTAACCATTCGCCTGCCTGCCTGATTGCCCTTAACCACTCTACTTGCCTGCCTGATCACCCCTAACCACTTTCCTGCCTGCCTGATCACCCCTAACCACCTCTGCCTCGGTCCCCACCACCATGGCTTCATCTGGAAGGACGTCCAGAAGGTCGTTCGGCTGTCTGATCTAATTAGCATATTATGCTTTTATTATTATAGATTGCATTACTTTCCACAGGAACAACTGTAAACCTACTTTTGACCCAACCTGTATTTAATAGAATCATTATTAAAGTTTAGGAAAATATGTGACAAGTGCACACAATGTATTTTAGATCAAGTGATAAATGAAAAAAAAAAAACTACTAGAAATGAAAAGAGAAATTGTGTCTTGTGGCTTCAAAATGAAAATCTACATCAGATGCAAATGAAAAATTCAGTTTACCCTTCAAACAATGAATGTAGAGACTGTTTCTACCAACTTGCAATATACAGGGTGTCCCAAAAATGTGTATACACATTTTAACAGCTGTTAACTCAATTGATACTTCTTTCTTTTCAGCCAGACTAAGCTTTAAACAAAATAAATTTATCCTAAAATGCTATTGGAAGTTTGAAAACACAGTTGAAGTACAGACACTACCTTTATAATTATTCAAAGTGTGTATACATTTTAATAGCTGATAGCTCACTTAATTTTCACTCCTTTTCAGGTTTAACTGATTTGAAATAATGCATTAAGCCAAACTTTAAACAAAGAAAATGTATCCACTAGACTTTTTATGGGGATACATAAAAGATAGTTTACTGTACAAAACCGGCAACAGTTGACAAATACTGAAAGAAATGATTCTTGATGTTTGCAATTCCATTGCTTCGAGTTATCAGCAGTGCCTGGACCAGAGCAGTTATCCATTTGAAAACAGGCATTGACAAAAAAAATCATTCATTCCTGTAGATTCTTTTAAATTTTGAAAATGAACTGTGTTAATAAATACCGACTTTATGATCATTCAAAGTGTGACACCCTATAATAAGGTTTGAACAGTTCCAATGTCCATTAGGAATCTGCTGTGACCACATGCATGTATGTATAGCCACTTGCTATTTGAACACTAGGTTCCCTGACATGCGGCTTGCCTCACACTCATTTTTGTCAAGACCCATTAGTCCTGATGGCTGATTTGCCAAAGCCTGAACTGAACTGAGTGACAATGACCACTAGATGGCAGCAATTGAATAGCATTTCTATTTGCTCCTCCAAAGCGCCCCCCCCCCCCGCCCCCCCCCCCCCAAACCTTGGTCAAAGTCACCTTTGATTATGGGCCCATTCTCTCTCTGCAGCCAAAACCCCACTACAGATGAAGTCTTGTCCTGGTCTCAAAATTTTGACAAGATGATGAAGGCCCCGGCAGGAAGAAATCTTTTCCGAGAGTTCCTCCGAACAGAATACAGTGAAGAGAACCTACTTTTCTGGCTTGCCTGTGAAGACTTAAAGAAAGAGCAGAACAAAAAAGTCATTGAAGAAAAGGCCAGAATGATATATGACGATTACATTTCGATACTATCACCAAAAGAGGTAAACAACTGGAAAATATTGATCTGAGTTTCCTAAGACCAAGGGTGAGCCTACAGGCACTTCTGTCCAAGTCGGTAACGGGTAACGCATGGGGTGTGGGCGGATGAGGAGGCTTCCCTGGGGAGAGAATAGGGAGTCCATTGTGAGGATCCCCCTGCGTGTGTGCTTGAAGGCTAGACTTCCCCACTACGCTTGATCATTTGTCTCTGGCTGACTCTGTGGTAGTCTCATTGCTTCTCAGAACTAACACTAGGAAGCCTGTTAAAAATACGATTTGCTGTGACTAGAACCAAAGTGGAAAAGAGTTCGCTTTGGGGCAGTGTTTCTCAAAGTGCGATCCCCGCATCACCTGTGTGACAATCACCGGGAGCATTTGTTTGAAAAGCAAATTCTTGAGGTCTACCCAGGACTTCTGAATCTGACACGTTTGAAATAGCCAGGAGCCTGCACTTTTAACAAGTTTTCCACCTAAAGATGAGTTTGGGAACCTCTGGTAGAGGGCCTCAAACACACACACAAACAGCCACGTTTGTTGATGCTTATGATACATTTTTTACGGAACTGAAGAATGAGCCCTATGATCCATTAAAATCTTGAGCAGAGATGGGTATGGTGATTAGTTTACTTATTCTAGTTTTGCTGTTATTGAAAGTACACGCTATTTTTCCCATTGCCACAATGTACCTAATAAATTAGGAGCATTTCAAGCAAACAAATTAACACCTTTCCATTAACTTTATAAAAATTAGTTTGCTCCTAAGAAATGTCCCTGCTGTTTGAGTTCAAAGCTGTTGGGGAGGGAGGGGTGAGTGGCCTGCCTCCGGTGCTGAGCTCCAGAGCTACTTTCCGGCATCTGAACTCAGAGGTTCCTAGAATGCCTTGTCTTCTGCACACCACCCTCGTAAGCCACTGTGGTTTTTGCCTGTGCATTTAAATGTCCTGACCTCGTACTTTTCTGCTCCCAGAGTTTAGCCTCTAACACTTGATGGGGCCCCAGCTGCCTTACACTCTTACCTTGAAATCTATAAAATGGATTAATGTCTACTTTAGCAATCTCTATGGTTGAAAGTCTATATAAACTACTTCACCTCTAATGAGGTATACCTAAGTAATTCACTTTTTTATTAGATTATAAGTGTCATTGATATCCCAGAGTACGCCAATCGTATTATCTCTTAAAGATGAGAAACCTTGAACTGCATACAAAAAGACTGTTTTGTTTTTTTATTTCCTGTATTAACATTAGAAAGGTATTCATAGCAACAAGGTAGGGAGAATTTTTCTGTAGCCTCGATACATTTATTCCAGGTGCCTTTGTATTTCTAACACCATTATAATTCTGCATCCTAAAAATACATTCTTCAGGCTTCTGGTCTATCGAAAACCTTAGCATTTAACTAATACTGTTTGGATTTTATTAGCACATTAACTTTTTTTTCTCATTTTTAATTTAATATTTTATTGCATGGCAATTACATCAAATAATTAAAGTGTGCCCAGAAACATGCTTCTCTTGCCCATAATCCTACCTAATAATAGACAAACATGGTAATTAACCATACCTCTGACACGCTTCCCATTGGCTAATCAGGGTGATATGCAAATTAACTGCCAACCAAGATGGCGGACGGCAGCCAGACAGCTGAAGTGAACAGGAGGCTTGCTTGCTCCAGTGATGGAGGAAGCCAAGGTTCCCTGCCTGCCGCTGCCGGCCTCTGAGCTGCACTCTATGAAACAATGTTGCAATTATAGAAGCTAAACAAACCCCAGAAACCTGCTTTCAGCCAGCCGGGCCTCAGAGCTGGAGCTGCAACAGTGTTTCAATTATAGAAGCCAAACAAACCCAGATACCTGCTTTCAGCAGCCGAGGTCTCAGAGCTGGAGCTGAGCCTCAGAGCTAAAGCTGGCTCTCAGCTCCAGTGACAGCCATAGAAGGTAAATAAATCCCAGAATAAAAAAAAAAGAAAAAGAAAAAAAGGAGAGGTTGGGAGCTTCAATCACCTGCCAGCCTGAAAACAGTCCTCAGCCCCTCACCCAGACTGGCCAGGCACCCCAGTGGGGACCCCCACCCTGAGGGGGGTGACCAGCTGCAAACAACCATCATCTCCTCATCCAGGCTAGCCAGGCACCCAAGCGGGACCCCCACCCTGATCCAGGACACCCTTCAGAGCAAACCAGCCGGTCCCCACCCGTGCACCAGGCCTCTATCCTATATAGTAAAAGGGTAATATGCAAACTGACCCTAACAGCAGAAAGACTGGGAATGACTGGTCACTATGACATACACTGACCATCAGGGGGCAGATGCTTAATGCAGGAGCTACCCTCTGGTGGTCAGTGCGCTCTCACATGGGAGGAGCTCTGCTCAGCCACAAGCCAGGCTGATGGCTGCCAGTACAGCGGTGGTGGTGGGAGCCCCTCCTGCCTCCTCAGCAGTGCTAAAGATGTCTGACTGCAGTTTAGGCCTGCTCCCTGCTGGCAAGTGGACATCCCCCGAGGGCTGCCGGGCTGCCAGAGGGATGTCTGACTGCCATCTTAGGCCCAATCCCCCAGGGAGCAGGCCTAAGCCAGCAGGTGGTCAACCCCTGAGGGGTCCCAGACTGCGAGAGGGCACAGGCCGGGCTGAGGGACCCTCCCCTCCCCCCCGAGTGCACAAATTTTTGTGCACCGGCCCTCTAGTCTATATAATAAAAGCCCACCAACTGTGATGGTGGAAAAACCAGAACGACTGGTCGCTATGACATGTACTGACCACCAGGGGCAGACAAACATTGCAGGAGCTGCCCCCTGGTGATCAGTGCGCTCCCACAGCTGGAGCTCTGCTCAGCCAGAAGCCAGGCTCATGGCTGGTGAGCACAGTGGCGGTGGCGGGAGCCTCTCCCCCCTCTATGGCAGTGCTGAGGAGCAGGAGATAAGCAGTAAGGAGTGAGCAGGCCGGCCGTTAGGAGCAAGGGGTCCCGGATTGCGAGAGGGTACAGGCTGGGCTGAAGGAATTTTGTACATTGGGTCTCTAGTTATACATAATTACAGAGTCTTACCCAATCCATTTCTCTTCCCAAAATATGTAATACTTAATATGTGTCATCCTAAAATGATAATTGCCTAGATTATCAGTCCATTCCTTTGTACTATCTAGATATCATCTTAAAATGATGACTATTCCATTTTAAAATAATGTTAGTAAAAAGAAAACTTAGTTTCTGTTATAAGTATATATAGTTTCTTTACTTTAGTCAACATTTTCTAATTTTTAGTTTTTTATGGGAAACACTTTCCCATTGTCCTCACAGATCCTGATTTCCATATGTCACTGACGGAGCTTTGCAAAATACTTAATTTTTCACAAAATTACTTCTTCTTTGAGCCATAGTTTAGCAAAATCATAGTTATTGATTATTGAAAGATAAACTATAGGATTTTCATTCTCTTTGTGAGAGTAATGGAGTTTTGTTCTAACATAATTTAGATTTGAACTTGAGTTTCCCACAAGTCATTAAAATAATATTTCCTGATCACAAACACAATCTTTGCTAAATTAAATAGACTAATATTTAGTGTAATAGTCATATCTATGTTCTCCTTTACTTTTTTAAACCTGTAATTAGGTCATACTCACTCTCTAATATTCTGAAAATACTACAAAGAGAGAGAGAGAAAGAGAGAGAGAGAGAGAGAGAGAGAGAGAGAGAGAGAGAGAGAGAGAGAGAGGTAAAATTTAAATTTTTATCATTGTTACTTGTAAATATGCTGACTTGTAAAGAACATAACATAGAATCTAAGTTTTGGACTATATGAAGTGCCTTTGTTTAGCCAGTTGATTGCCTTCCTATCAACATAGTAATCAAAAAGGGATAGTCAAATGGGGGTTTACAGTTGTGAATACAGGAAACACAGGGTTTATTCTTATATTAATAATTTATTAATTATTATAAACCTACTTCTGCCCACTCTTGTATTTGGTTATTGTTTTTCAGCAAAAACAAATAAACCAAAACCATTAGGTATTTGCCATTATAAAAGACAATGGTTAAAAAGTTATGTGTTGAGCCAAAGTGTAGATATAGTATATATTTACGCTTGAACCATGTCAAATGGCTTAACTCACTGATACAGTATAGCATGCCCGTTGTAGCTATCCCAGAGCCCTTTCCAAACTCTTACATCTCTCTGACCTTTCTATGCAAAAACTCATCAATTTCTAGTCAGCCTCAACACATTACCCATTATCTGACAATACTGAGTTATCACCCTTTACAATTTGTTAGCCTGCGCTGGAGAGAGCACGTAGCATTGAGACAGCCCTGACTGGCCAGCGGTGGGGCACTGGACTGGTATGCAGGTGCACAGGATTCTAGTCCTGGCTCTGCTTCACCTGCCTGAGGGACCTGGATAGATTAGTTCACTAAATTCAAAAGGGGCACGGAGAGGAGTAAACCAAATCGGGAACTGCAGCTGCAAGGCCCTTGGACTGCTACTCCACTCTTCCCCCAAATGACACGGTTAATAAATCCCGGGCCTCCTAACTGTGTCCCCAGATTCAACCTCAGAACATCTCACAACACTGTTCTCCGAGCAGCCACCACACACCAAGTGGGGTCGGAATCTCTTCCCATTGAGGGGCTAGATAATCTGGCCTTTCTACCTCTGAAATTCGGTAACTGCTTCCCTTTAGTCCAAATACTTTAAAGAATATGAACATCTGAATCCTTTATAAAGTGGTAGTGAGTAAATACTAAAAATTATCAGGATTTCCTTCTTAACCAGAACTTCATTTTTCTCCACGAGACTTTCATTTTATATTAACTGGGTTGAGTTAATAATGTTTCACTTTGTTAAATGTAGAGAAAGTCTACATTTTTACAATTATTCATATGTATATGATTTATTTATTGCATGGAGCCAATATGCTGAAAATTGCATTGCATTGTTTGTTTTAAGAGCATGTGTTTATGGACTTTTAATAATTCAAACATTATGTTATAAAATAGATGCTTGCAGTC